CGTCTCTATTCATACAATGCCAAAAGGGGCTGCTACTTTGGGAGATTGAGGGTGGATGGAGCTGAAAGATGGTCAGTTGTAGGAGAGGAAGTACAGGAGCCCTTGGAATTGAAGTAGGTGACTAGTGCCAAGTCCAGGAGCCTTGTGGTTGTAATTAGCCCCCCCGGGAAGCATGCTGACTTGGAGGGAGAGGCCAGACTGGCGGTGAATGGTGGACCTCAGGGAGTCTGTGCCGCTGGGGAAGTCTAATCACATTCACCCATGCTCTAGGCTGTCAGTGTATTGCTGCAGCCAGGACCAGAGCTCTGAGCAGAGGTTGCACCAAGTGGCACTGTAGTCTGGGAAGCTGGGAGTGGGGTCTGTTCATCAGAGATGACCTTGAGTACAGATGACTGGCATTGACCATATATGAAGAAAAGCTAAATCATAGGAATGCCTTTGTTCTGAAGTGGTACTTTTTCTCCTTGATCTTGAGTTAATCAGTTTCTGTTGCTCTAGAAGTTTCATATGAGAGCCATTTACCAAAAACAAATTATAAACTTATTGAGAACTTCTGTCATCTTCGTGCCTCCAGTGGAGCTTAGTGTCTCGTTTTGCACTAGTCAGCAGTACTCAGAAAATGTTTTGAGTTGCTTAGTCCCTTATCTTTGAACCAAATAATCAATGTAAACCCTGTTCTCTAGTCTTTTGACTCTTAAAAATCATCTGTCTTTATAGCCAGTGGTAGCCTAGATAACCTATAAAGAACCTGAGACAACTGACAAGCAAAACAAATTCAGTCTAGCTGCTGATTATGAGAGGCTGTCCTTTGGGCCTGTCCAGGACAGCATGTCGCTGTGACCTAGGACCCAGGCACCCTGAACTTTGGCTTCCTCTCACATTCATCAGTCTTGTTATAAGGATTTAGATGTTCCCTTTGAATTTGCCTAAATAATTTTGATTTCTAGTATTAGCACCACATGGGCTTTTGAATTCTCTGAAAGTATTAAAATACTGCTCTTTGTCTTTCATTCTAACTGCTGCCTGCCTAAACTAAGATTCCTTTTCTTATGACTTCATCCACTGTGCTGACTTAGGCAGTTTAGATTTCCTTGATAAACTAGATTTCCTAAATGTTTGTTACATGTGTTATGATCTGGGCAGTGGCTTTTAAAAAGACAATTGCATGAAGTAACCAAAATGGAAGCACATAAGATTCAATGATCATACATGCTAATATATGCGAACACACCTAATTATTATATTACAACGGATGTGTATATGTTTGGAAATACTTCATATCAAATTATACACAGACTGGGCAGGAGGATTATAGATGTTGGCTATGAAGGCAGAAACTTTAATATTTTTAACTGATTTAAAAAATTGTTTTATAATTTAATATGCATCTGGTACATGTGAAATGGTATCTGAACTGAGTCAGTAGAAGGGTGTCAGCATAGAGCCAGGGGCTTCAGAGGAAGACAATAATTTTCTCCTATCCTAATTTTCTCATTTCTTCAGGAGTACGTGAGATTTTACATTAGCTCTCATGCGAGGAAGACATGGCAGGCAGAGTTGAAGGGAAGTCTAGGCAGGGGGACAGTGAGAGAGAAATGCGTGGAGGTTGGCTGCATGGTAAGAGCAGCTGTGAGGAGGTATTTGTGACTGGGACACAGCGAGTGAAGAGTGGTGGCACCGTGTGGAAGGTCCCTGGCTGACTTTCTAATGGGGTCATCGGGATAACATCACTGAACCCCCTAATCACTCTTAATTTCCCTAGAAGTAGGACAACTACATGTGATACAGTCTAGCAAAAAAAAGTCTGAGATCTAAATAGCTGTTGATAAAAACATTGTTTAAATGTTCCCCTACTCCCTCATATCATGAGGCTACATTTAACCAAAGTCATCATGGGGGTACATTTGGCCAAACCCAGAATTTGAGAAATTATATAGGACAAAGGAACACATGTCCCCCCCCCCGCCACCCCCTCCCCAGTGAAGGAAAAAATGGAGAAAAAGGGAACTGTTAAAGATTTAAGGAGACTTTAAAAAGTCAATCAAATCAATGCATGATGACTCTAAATAGATCATTTATATTAAAGGCATTTTTTTTTAGGCAACCTGGTGACATCAGACACAAACTGGTATCAGAAAGAAATTACTCATGTTGTAGGGGATGAAAATACTGTCAGATAAGATTTTCTGAAAATTTTATCTATTACATGGGTGATACGTTCTGCAAATAACTTCCAAATATTCCAGAAAAATTAAAGCAAACTACCCAATAAGAAGTAAGAATTCAAAAGGGGCGAGAGAAATGAAACAAAAAGCAGAAACACTTGATGATGTTTGAATCTGAGGACTGAGTACATGGGTGTGCATTTCCCGTGTCCACATACTCTGGCATGTGCTTGACATTTTCCATGATGGAATGTTGTAGGGCCATCAAGGAGTCCAGACGTGACTTTGTAACAGGAAACTTGTGATGGCTTTTGGCCTATAGAGGGGAGGGACCATGTGCAGGGCTACGCATACTCAAAGGGATATGTGGTAACTATCAAATGATCTGGAATGAGGAGGTATGAAGGCGGGAACCCATTTAAGGTCTTGATTGCAGCGGTGGCCTTGTGAATCGAAACTTTTTTGAGACCAGATAGAGGAACTCACACAAAAGAAGAACTTCCTGATGGGTCTGTGGGACAGAAATGAATTAGGTGCATGATGAGGAAAATTCCCTACTTCCTTTTCAGTCAGTAGCAGTTTTTGTCCTTGGGCCCTTGCGTGGGTCCTCTGAGAGGAGAGAGAGGAGGGGGTTGGGATCTTCTCTGAGGGGGGAGTAAATGAGCTCTTCATACTAGCCAGCGTGGGAAGCAATAGGAAAAAAAAGAATTCTGTTTCTATTTTTTTCAACCCTCTACCCCCCTTTTTTTAAAGCAATAAACTACTCTTCAGTTGTTTCAGTATGAAGTTCATAGATACAGGTGCAATTTCCAGAAGGAAATGAATCCTCAGTGGCCCCAGCTGAGTCATTTATGATGTTAGTTAAGCCAGTATATTATTTGTAAGATTGAACAATTAAATGAGTTGGAATAATATGGTCTCTGGAAAGAGAAGTTGTTCTACAGTTAACTAATGAAAGCTTAGTTTAAATACATAGTTTCTGACTGGCTCATAACAAAAATGCTGAAAGAAAACTTCAGAGCCAATAGAAAGTAACAGCTGTTAGAAATGAAAGGAAAATGGTAGTTCTCCCGCCTTCCACAATCAAAGATAATACTTCACACACCAAATATTAATAGGGTCTCGTAGAAACACGCCACCCCAGTGAATAGTTTCCCGGCCACATTTGTGTTCTTGATTCTGCTCTTTGATGAAGTCACACTTTGAACTGCAGCCTGTCCGTATGGGTGGTTTCTACAAGGAGCCTCTTTTCTGTCTCCATTTAACATAGATGCTTAGAGGGACTAAGCTGAGATGGACACACTGAGGCAAATGCACACTTTACTGCTGTTGTGCATCATGAGGGGAAAGGGCTTTGCTGCCCATCTTGGCAGGACTTCTCATTCCATCCTCTGAGCTAACTTTTACCAGCCCGACTTGAACCTCAGAAGGAAGTGAGGTTACGGTCAGGTTGTCACTGATTTGGGCCCAATTCAAGCAGAAGTTGTAATTCATGGTAGCTGTTGTAAGGAGCTCTGAGGGAAGAAAGAAAAAGAAACATTCCTAGCTCAAAGCAAGAAAGGCAATTTTTATTTTACACCAGGACATGCTGAGGCACTGGAGAGATGTGGATGGAGAGGCTGTGGCTAGGAGTCACTTGATGCAGGAGGCTGAACTGCCGTCAGAGCTCGATGGAGAAACGGTCTCTCTCTCCAAAGGGAGTAGGGTTGCAAGAAACTGATGTATTTAGTAGCCCCAGAAATACTAATGATCGTCAGGACCAGAGATGTAATGCAGGTAAAATGGCTGTTCTCTGCCACATTTCTGTCCTTCTCTCTCTCTTTGCTATTTTAAGATCTAGGTCTGTGTTTCTGTTTCTTCAGCCAAGATCAGAACTCGTACAGACCTTTGGGAGTGTCACGTGTCCTATGTAGGGGATGATTCAGTCGATTTATGACGTCTCAATCGTGTGTCAGCAGAGAGGTTGAGAAATCTCTCCGAAATGTAAACCCACCCAGAGAGGGGCACTGCCTCCTGCCTGTGTGCATCATTTTCTCACCTGATCAAAGTGTCAGCAGTTCCTAGTGCCTATTCTCTTTTATTAAGCTATGAAACTTGTATTTATTGTAGTAAATCACTGATTTAAGATGCCTGACCAGATAAGTTAGTGAAACGGAGGGGAAGGGAAGGCGAAGGGAATTAAACCTCCAATATGCTGGATATTTGTCTGGGGCTTAGCTATTTCTAATTTAGCAAGTCCTTTTTAAGTGTCAACATGGTTCTGGGCATTGTGTGTGTGCTGTGATATGAGAAAGGGTTCTAAGATGGCCGCTGTGCAGGTGGCCTTGGAGACACTGTGGAGCCTGAGGAGTGAACAATTCACTTCCTCTTCTGCCTGCCAACTGCCCTTCCCGGCTTCACCACCAGGACAGTTGGGGGTTTAGGAGGGACGTGGTTCAGATGGCAAGAGGAACATTCTCATGTATGTGGTATTCTGTAGAAAGTTACCTAGAAAATAAAGAATCCTGGCCAAGTGCAGGGCATAGAGATCTCAGATTCCAGCCCGTGAGGTCTCTGTTTTCCCCACAGACCCTTGCACCACCTCTGCAAGTCAGGTTGCACTCCACTCCTGTACTTCCTTGCACTCACACACCACCCTGTTGAGGCTTTTAGACCTGAGACTTTCTCCAGTTACAGCTTTTCGGTGAAGTGCTATCCTGGAAGTGCACATCTGGCTAGTGTGTGCCAGCTGTCCACACATTGTGGTTGCTTGCACCTGCCTTTTCAGCTCATTCAAATAATTCACATGAACAAGTTAACATACTGCTTCTTTTGTTTTGTGTTTTGTTCTTCTAGAACACAAGCAGGCATTCCCAAACATTCTAAAGAAGGGTTACCTGGAGATTCGGAAGGATCACGACAGCTACTGGCAAAGCTGTTATGCAGAACTCTCACCCTACAACTTGGACTTCTACAGCCTCGACAGCAGTGGGAATCAAAATCTCTGTGCCACATACCAGCTCTCCCACTTCCAGAGCATCTCTGTCCTGGGCAACCTCGAGGCCAGGCTGGTGGACACCGTTCTGTATGACAACACTCAGCTGCAGCTAAAGGCAGAGTCACCGTGGGAGGCTCTGGACTGGGGGCAGAAGCTCTGGGAAGTCGTGCATGCTGCCGTGCCTGGCTGCGTGGGACGGCAGGATGCGCTGGCCAACTCCCCAGGGCCTGCTCATCATGCTGACTGTGCACAGAATCATTGTTTACAGAAGTCCAGTGAGCTGCTCCTGCCATCCCCCGTCCTGGATAGTCCTAAGCAGTACCAAAACATCCTCAAATCAGGGACACTCTACAGGCTCACTGTCCAGAACAACTGGAAGGCATTTACCTTTGTGCTGAGCAGGGCCTCCCTGATGGCATTTCAGCCCGGCAAGCTGGATGAGGATCCCCTGCTAAGCTACAATGTGGATGTGTGTCTGGCTGTCCAGATAGACAACCTGGATGACTGTGACTCTTGCTTTCAAGTTATTTTCCCCCAAGACGTCCTCCGCCTCCGGGCTGAGACCCGGCAGAAGGCTCAGGAGTGGATGGAGGCTCTGAAAACAGCCGCCAACGTGGCGAGGAGTTCAGAGCAAAATCTGCAAGTCACACTGAGGAACAAAGCCAAGGACCAGATAGGTGGGCAAGAACTCAGGAAGAACAAACGCCAGTCCGTCACCACCAGTTTCCTGAGCATTCTGACGACCTTGTCTTTGGAACGAGGGCTCACTGCTCAGAGCTTCAAATGTGCAGGTATGATGCAAATTCTTAACGTAAAGCACGTTCTAAAGAACACTCCCACTTCCTACATTGAAATTCACTTTAAAAACCCCTAATCGACTAGTCATCTCTACCTCCTGTTTAAAAAGCATCTCTTCCTTCAAGGAGCTTGAACATCTGTCCATCTTCATGCTGTATTGGTAAGGTAAAGAGAAGCAGATGTGATGTGTCCCACTGAATCAAGATGACTTAGCCAAAGCATAACCAGACTAGGATGTCAGCTTCCTGAGTGCACTGTGATTCCATTTCCTTTGTCTTCTTAAATAAGGGTCACGTGAATGAGCATGGCACATTCTGTCTGACTAGAGGCTTTCAAGCCTGAGGCTGACAAGCAGCACTCCTTAGTCAGGGAGAATGCCCCTTGTCAGTAACGGCATTGATCATAACCTTGCAAATTCTGTTAAGGTAGAATTTAGAAAATCAGCCTTACCAGAAAATCTGGAGCTGAGTAAGAGTAGGGTACAGGATGATTCATCGTGACCTCTTGAGTCATGATGGGGCTGTGCCTCATGCTGGGGAATTGCAAGGCTCCTGGAGCTGCCCTGGGAGGGTGAGACATTCGGTAGAGTTCAAGGTCAGCCTTCTGTTATTTCTTAACATCCCACTATTGCTTCTCTGCTCTATACTCCCTACTCCTCCTCACTTCCCCCAGACAACAAACTAGAAAGAAAAAAAAAAGCTTATTAAATCAAGTTTATGTAACTCCTGTAAGCTAAATCAAATCATTCCCCTTTCACCAAACTCCACAATTTGTGTCAAGAAATTTACCATGAAGGCAGGTTTAATTGGAAGCCTGATCTGGGAGTTTTTAATTTCATTGTAACCAATTTAAGTACATTATTTGAAAATGAACAAGAAGCTCATCATCAGCTAAAAACAAATTTTAAAATTTGTGCTGGCTCCTACATTGAAAAGCTAAAATAGAGGTGGTATTAGGTTTGGTGAGTGGGGTTTTTGGGTTCCTTTGGAGAGTGATTTTGGTAGAATTCCCGCTGAGTGGCATATGGCTTTTTTTTTTTTTTAAGATTTATTTATTTATGCTTATAGAACTGGGGTACAGGCCAGAGGTGTGGGGATGAGAAGATTCACCAGAGACAGAGTGGGGAGCAGAACAGGTAGACTGATGAAGTACACTGCTGATAGGAACAGTAGTAGGCAGGTCAGGAGAGGTCTGCCACGCCATGTGGGTCAGCTCCCTGGCCAGGGATTGAACTCGTGCTGCAGTGGCTTTGGAGAACTTCACCATGCGGTGCATTAACCCATTGTGCCACCAGAGAGAGCCCCAATATGGCAGTTTTATTAAGGAAAAAAGACCCTTGTATAGCCATAGACAGGCAAAAGCTGAATTTTAAAAGGGCAAATTTATTAGGAGAAAATGACGGCTGCATAGACTAAGGCAGCAAAGAGCCGCACTTTGAAAGAGGTGTGTTTGTTGGGGGTTGAGGGGGTGGGAAGAGGTAGGTGCCTGTATAGATCTCCCAGGATCCATACAGAGCAAGGGGGGTCCTCTTTGGTGGAATCACTTTGTGGATTTTATTGCTTTGGGGTCCTATTGGTTAGGTTTTATAAATTGATAATCCCCTCCCACCTCTTATTCCTGGAATTATCCATAGCTGATTTAATGACTCGGTCGTCATCTTAGTTACCACCTGGCTTTGACCTTGTGAAAACTTCCTAATTTTTCTACTCTAAGCTTCCACCAGTGGCAAGCTGAAAACCCGCTTTTTTTAATTTAGGTGTAGTAATGACGATGGCCTTTTCCGATGAACAATAATGTATCTAAAAGGAGGACAGTATGTGAATCAGGCATTACTTTGCCTGAAGGGCTTGGGTGACTTGAAGTGGAAACTTGCAGGGTAGGACTGGGGAAGCCAGAAACACAGAGCAGGCAGAGAAACACTGGAGGTGATGTGAGGTGAGGAGGGCCTTCTGCAGGCAGCTAGCTGCTTTTGGAAAATGGTTTTGAAATGAAGAGAGACTGGCTTTAGGGTGATTGGAAATTACTGACATTTCAGTGTCATATTGTACCAGCATATACGTTACATTTCGGAGTTCAAACATTCAACAGTAATGTATTAAGCACTTGCTCTGTGGACATCCTGGAATTATGGTGCGCTGCAGCACCGGCATATTGCTCATAGGGTCAACAAGTCTATTGTTATCGAAATCAGGGAGAGCAGCTTGGCTTAGTTCTCAAGGCAGAGACTGCATTGATTGAACCAGGAAACTTCTAGAAAGGAGGGAAGAAGAGTCTCAGGTGCTCTACAAGGTTTGCCACCAATTAGTCCCTAATTAGGGGGTACCTCCCTCTCAGGTTTTTTCCTGCTGGATTGTACACTGTCAACCTTCTGTGCTAGATGAGTAGTGTTGCCAGCACCCAGGAGAGAAAGAGGCTGCTACTTAGGAGGCTAGCCCCACAGCTAACAGGAAAATGGAGAAAGGTGAAGAGGAGGGGCAAGGAGAAGGGAGCTAATTAGAAAAGAGTGCAAAAAGGATTACAAGATGGGCAGCCTGCAGCTTCATGGCAGCTTTTAGGTTTCATGTTTTGGGGTGCCTCCCTTTGCTGGCTGAATCTGGTGCTCATGTAATGAAGAGGTTGCAGATGGGTGGGGGGAGGGATTCCGGGAGATGGGGTTAGGTTCCGCTGTCTGCTCCTTCTAAGGCCTCCTGTGCCATGGAGAAGGCTAGGTTCAGGTGCTTTGTGATACAGGAGCTTTCCCAGGTTGCTTGGCATTTGCCTTCCTCGTGGTGCCTGGAATCCCGGCTTCCTAGTGCCAGCGTCCGTCTCCTGTAGGGGGCAGAGTCTCAAAAGAAAAAGGCAAAAACTTGTTAAGCAAACCTCTGAAGAGTTGTTTTTTTTTTTTTTTAATTTTGTGGGAGACGCTTCAATATATCAGATTATTATAGCAGATGGAACTTTAAAAACTGATCTATGGTTCACATAGACACAGTTAATCTAAACCAGCTGCTGCTTCCTTAAGTTCTCACATCCTCTAACTTTGCATCTTCATAAAAACACGCATTTGGTGGAAAACCTGATGGCAGAGCGTGTTTGTTTTCCTGAGTGCCAAAGTCCGGTCACTTGTTTTTAGTTGAAACTTGGCTTTATCAGTATGTCATGGTTGCAGTGAGCCTCTTTAGACTACAATTTCTTATCTTTTTAGTCCCTCCCCCTTTAACTATTTTTTATGAATAAAAATCCGAAGTGGAAGATTGCACGGAGTAGCTCTTTAATATGATGTCATCCAGCTGCTATTTAGGGGCACCACAAAGGTTGGCCTTTAAACCTACAAAGTAGTGAAGTTGGCCTTATTTCACTAAATTCTTTCTGTAGGTGAAGAATTTCTGTGTTCTCTAACTCTCAGAGTCCCTGAGAGAAAGAACCATGATCATCCCCAAATGCCTGAGGTTATGGTTTTGAAAATACATGCTTTGCATAACTGTATATTTCTTAACATGTGCTTGAACTTTTTATAGTCATATTTGCTGATGTAGGGTTTGCTCCGAGGCTCCCTCTCTAAGCACGGAGGGAGGGGGGGTCTTGCAGATCTGCTACCTACCCTGGTTATCCCTGTCTCCAGGGCCTTCATACTGGAGCTCCTTGTCCTCAAAACATATCTTTGAAAATTAAGTCCTTCTACTCACCCTACCATTTATTGTGTGCCGAATTTCTGGCCATGTGCCAGAAACTTGGTGTACCTGACTGAGTCAAGATTACAAGCAGATAAGATTCTCCTCCCCTCAGCTTTGCAGTCTGCTAAGAGAAGGCAGATATTCATCAGGTAACCACATCCAGAATGTCCCAAGGCAGCGGTGACAGAGCCTCAGAAGTGAGGCCCACACATTGAACCAGATGTGCCAAGTGGTGAAATGTCTCAGTCCTTTTTGACCAGCCGAAAAAGGTGGCTTGATAAGGTTGAGCAGGTTTGACCCTGAAGTTAAGGAAGGCTTCTGAGCAGAGGCATATGTAAGTTAAGTCATATTTAAGAACAGTGAATTTGACAGTGCTTTAGTACAGTTTTCCAGAAACACCTCTGTAGAAGAAAATGGGGTATGCTTCAGTGAAGTGACCGGTTGGGATTCAAATTACATTTGGCATTGGGGAATGTGTGGCATTAAAATATTAATGCTAAAACAAATGAGTTTGCAGCTTGTTAAAATATTTATGGAGTGTGTACCTGTGAGTGGTTCTAAATTAGATTGTTCACAAAATGCTGCATAAATTAAATGATAAAGCAGTAACCCTGTTTTTTTCAGGAATGAAACATGTGCACATACCTATTTCTCCTCCATAGATATAGGATTTTCTTGGCCCAAGTGCAAGCATACTTTTCCCATAATTTCCCAGCAATCAGGAAACCCGACAGATGGGTGCCACGAGGGGCTCAGGACCTTGTTTATAGGTGTAACACAAGATGCAAAGCCCATCCTTTATGTGTTCCTTGTGCGGCCGCTTTGTCATCTGGAGGAGAAATTCAATGGCCCAACGTGGAACAAGGTTCCTGATTCTAACACAAAGTTGAAAATGTCAATGGAAGAGACAGCAAGAAATACAGTGAGCAAGGGGATCCCCTGCACCGTTTTTTTACGCTGTCACTTTTTATGGTTTTACTCCTTTGGCTGCTGTTTAACCTCTTGGGACTGCTGTTAGTAATTACATCTCTTTGGCACTTAGAGCTTTTTGCTCTCCTTCCCCCCCCCCCCCCCC